TCAATCGATAGTGACCTTTATAGGCTTCTTTTTTTTATTTTTACGTACTACTAATACTACTGTATGCACTTAGAATTACAAATATCGATATTATATATCCATATATATAATATGGATATTATGTATATACTTTATGAAAGTGTTTAAAAAAATTGAAAAAGATATGTTTTACAGTGTTTTCAAATTTGCATTCCTTCACGCAAAGGAATCATTAGTGAATTGCGAATGTTGCTATCGTGCATAAATAATTTAACATCGACGCTACTGAAGACACTTCTGAACTTTACTAACGAGTTATACTGATATATTCAACGCTTTAATTTATAGTAGAAGCAATTTCATATTCTAATTACAGTTTAATTACAATAATTGAGATTTAGTTTTGCAGTAATAATAATCGTCAAATTCAAATATCTGTGTTTTATTAGCATTATCATTATTATTATTATAGTATTTTAGAACGCTGGGGTCAATTGACGGATTCGCTTTAATCAAAAAAAAAAAAAAATTGAAATATTTTATTAAGATTTGGTAAATTTATCATTTTGTGAATAAATATTTTTTAAATTTTGAATCTATCAAAAAAAATGTATTCTGCAGGAATAATTAGGTTAGATCAGGTTAGATTATATTAGGTTAGGCTAGGTTAGGTTTTATTAGGTTAGGTTAGGATAAGTTAGGTCAGGTTAGGTTAGGTTAGACTAAGTTAGCTTAGGCCAGGTTAGGTTATATTAGGTTAGGTTAGGATAAGTCAGGTCAGGTTAGATTAGGGTAAGTTAGGTCAGGTTAGATTAGGATAAGTTAGGCCAGGTTAGGTTAAGTTAGAATAGGTTTTGTTAGGTTAGGATAAGTTAGGTCAGGTTAGGTTAAGTTAGAATAGGTTTTGTTAGGTTATATTTGGTTAGGTCAGGTCAGATTAGGTTAGGTTAGGTTAGGATAGCCTAACTTAGGTTAGGCTAAGTTAGCTTAGGTCAGGTTAGGTTAGGATAAGTTAGGTCAGGTTAGGCTAGGTCAGGTTAGGTTATATTTGGTTAGGTCAGGTCAGATTAGGTTAGATTAGGTTAGGTTAGGATAGCCTAACTTAGGTTAGACTAAGTTAGCTTAGGTCAGGTTAGGTTAGGATAAGTTAGGTCAGGTTAGGTTAGGCTAGGTCAGGTTAGGTTATATTTGGTTAGGTCAGGTCAGATTAGGTTAGATTAGGTTAGGTTAGGATAGCCTAACATAGGTTAGGCTAAGTTAGCTTAGGTCAGGTTAGGTTTTATTAGGTTAGGTTAGGATAAGTTAGGTCAGGTTAGGTTTTGTTAGGCTAAGTTAGCTTAGGTCAGGTTAGGTTATATTAGGTTAGGTTAGGATAAGTAAGGTCAAGTCAGGTCAGGTTAGATTAGGGTAAGTTAGGTCAGGTTAGATTAGGATAAGTTAGGCCAGTTTAGGTTAAGTTAGAATAGGTTTTATTAGGTTAGGTTAGGATAAGTTAGGTCAGGTTAGGTTAGGCTAAGTTAGCTTAGGTCAGGTTAGGTTATATTAGGTTAGGTCAGGTCAGATTAGGTTAGGATAGGCTAACTTAGGTTAGGCTAAGTTCGCTTAGGTCAGGTTAAGTTATATTAGGTTAGGTTAGGATAAGTTAGGTCAGGTTAGATTAGGTTAGGTTATGCTAAGTTAGCTTAGGTCAGGTTAAGTTATATTAGGTTAGGTTAGGATAAGTTAAGTCAGGTTAGATTAGGTTAGGTTAGGCTAAGTTAGCTTAGGTCAGGTTAGGTTATATTAGGTTAGGTCAGATTAGATTAGGTTAGGATAGGCTAACTTAGGTTAGGCTAAGTTCGCTTAGGTCAGGTTAGGTTATATTAGGTTAGGTTAGGATAAGTTAGGTCAGGTTAGATTAGGATAAGTTAGGCCAGGTTAGGTTAAGTTAGGATAGGTCAGGTTAGGTTATATTAGGGTAGGTTAGGATAAGTTAGGTTAGGCTAGGCTAGGCTCGGTTCAATTATGTTGAAAAATTGAGATTCAGGAGCAAAAGATTTCGAGTTTTAAAAAGTTATAACCGGTTCTTTGATTAGAACCCTCAATTTTAATCAGTAAAATAAAATTACAAAAAAAGTTTTTTATAAGATAATAATTTTCCTCAAAAAAGATGAACTTGTCTCGCTATGTCAAATGACAGGCTGCTGAATTTCTTAGTCGGTATATGTATATATATATATATATGTATACATTTTGTATCACGGTCAATATAAGAGGACGGTAATTAGTGTCCGGTAACCAGCGATTAGACCAAAGGCCCCCTTTGCAAGAGGCTCGTGACCGGGCACTGGTCACGATATCGACGAAGGAAAGATTTCAACGTCAAGTACTAAAATCTTTTAACGTTATCACTTGAATGTTCGTGCTGTTCATCTTCAATTTGTGCTCGAGTAATTAATTGACTCGAACCCCATATAGCGCGCGCTATATATTGCGTTTAAAGTCTCAAAACTGTTCCATGTTATTTCCGTTGAAAGATGTTTCGACTTGATTATAATTTTAACTCTGATATCTACCTATATAGAGAATATGTACTGACAACTTGAACTTGTTCCCTTTTGTTTTCTTTCATCAAGCTCTATATAAACTTTGTATTATTTCAAACAAAGTAAAGCGAGTGCAAGAAGTGTAAAACTAACTTTAAACTCATATTCTTGGTAATTTCATTTTTTTTCTTTGTTTTTCTTAATTATAGAGACAAATTTTCATTAAGAATGCGTTGACTTACACCATAATGTTTGTAGAAAAAAATTAAATTGCAAGATTTTAAAACAACTAATAGCTGTGCTTTTAAAAATTCATTTATTTTATAACACAGACCTGTTGAATTTGACTTTTTTATTTTTGATATCTGACTGGTTTTCAAAGTATTTTTTATCTGCTAAACACGATCTCGGGTTCAAAAATTATTCAGCACGTGAGGATATTGATAAAAGTGGGGGTAAAATCTAAAAAAAACACGTTTTTTTGCTTTTACCTCCTTTTTTTAAAAAATCTTCACGTGCTAAACAATTTTGGAACCAGGGATCGGGTTTAGCGGATAAAAAATACATTGAAAACCATTCCGATATGAAAAATAACCAAAAATATTTTTTTGGGTCTCTATCCCCACTTTTTTCAAAATGCTTTATTTTTTTGGGTAGCGACTGTAAAAAATTTCTTGTTATTTTTGATATCGGAATGGTTTTTAGTGTATTTTTGTCTGCTGAACACAATCCCGGGTTCCAAAATGGTCTAACACGTAAAGGTTTTGATGAAAGTGAAGGTAAAGGCCAAAAAAAACGTGCTTTTGGTGTTTTACCTCCACTTTTCTTAAAATCCTGACGTGATAAACAATTTTGGAACTCGGAATCGCGTTTAGCGGATAAAAATACATTGAAAACCATTCCGATATCAAAAACAACCAAAATTTTTTTTGGGGTCTCTATCCCCACTTTTTTCAAAATGCTCTAATTTTTGGGCAAAGACTACAAAAAAATTTTTTGGTATTTTTGATATTGAAATGGTTTTCAGTATATTTTTGTCCTCTGAACACGATCTCGAGTCCCAAAATTGTCTAGCACGTCAAGATTTAGAAAAAAGTGGAGGTAAAGGTAAAAAAACGTGTTTTTGAGGTTTTGCCCCCATTTTTCTCAAAATCTTGATGTGCTACACAATTTTGAGACCCAGAAGCGTGTTCAGCGTACAAAAATACATAGAAAACCATTCCAATATTAAAAATACCAAAAATTTTTTTTGGGGTCTTTGCCCAAAAAATAGAGTATTTTGAAAAAAGTGGGGGTAGAGACCCCAAAAAAAAGTTTTTGGTTATTTTTGATATTGGAATGGTTTTCAATGTATTTTTGTCCGCTGATCACGATCCCGTATACCAAAATTGTATATCACGTCAGGATTTTGAGAAAATTGGATGCAAAACCCAAAAAACACGTTGTTTTTGTACCTCTCCTAAAATGATTAAAAATTACACTTATGTTGCATATAATATGTTAATATAAATTTTTTCCCTTGAAAAATTTTGGTCGAAATAATATATCACGAGGAAATATTTCTCACTGACTAAATTTATATTTATATATATATATATATATATATAAATATATTGATTTGGAAAGTGTACAAAAGAAAGTACCGTGGGAATTGCGAGAAACGATTGTATGCATATATATATACACTCACATATATACATCATGAAATCGCGCACTCGATGCGCACGATTCAGAGCAATCGACTCGGACTCTCTTATTTTGAGATAAGAAATGAGAACTTGGATGAACAGTAAAGCAAATGAACGCAATATTGTAATCGCCTCAGGCAACATAACCCGGAATACAGATTTGGCAATTATTTCCCAACAATTTATATACTTAAGAATGTGTGTGTGTGTTTGTATGGAGAAAACTGATATCCTTACCAGGAACGATTATTAATTATATATGACTATGAATTAATAATTATTATCAGTATAAAAGAAAATAAGAATTTTTTTTTTCATCATACGAAAAATCAACATTTTGATACACTATCATATATAGTAAAAGTTATCTGATAAAATAAAGTCGACGAAACTTTCACTGAACGTGGAAATTTATTGACATTTAACAAATTTAGTCGTAAATTATATCTATATTTCAATTATCAGTTTTCAATATTCAACTCTCCTATATCGGTTTATCTGTGAAATTATTGAATTATTTAATATTTCCTTGTTAATGATTATGATTATGATTATTATTGTTATTATTATTGTTACTATTATTATTATTATTGATATTATTATTATTATTTTGCAAATTTATACAATGTACTTATTAAATAATTGAGTAGAGAGATTGCAATTTAATTAATGTAATGTGTTTTAAATTCAATTAATATTATAATGTGTAAATTGTATGACATTGTATTATTTAAAAGCAGTTGGTAATTTCATCAACTTTTAAATTACTGGAACATATTTTCTGACATTATCTAAATTTACTTTTCAGGATTTTAAGGAATACCCATGGGGAGCAACAATTTCTTCATACAACTTTTCTGAATCGTATGCAAGAAGTAAAGTGAGTCATTTTGAAATTTTAAAATTATTACCACTTATTTGAGGTTAAAAACTGTTAACTTGTTAAAAACTTGGTTTTTATAACAAAATTTTGGTTGGCTGAAACAAAGTCGTTAAGTTATCTCAACTAAACATTTGGTTAGGCCAATAAAATTATTTCGTTGAACATTTTTAAATTCCAACCAAAATTTGGGTTACGACAACAAAATAATTTGGTTAACACAACAAAATAGTTTGATTTAAAAAACCAAATAGTCGTTTGATGTCGTAAACAAAATTTGGTTATACGACAACCAAATAATTTAATTCGCTCTCTTTTACCTCAATTAGTTTAAATCTCTCACAAAGATGGGTAGTCCTGTGGTCAGAGCTCCCGACTCGCAGTTTAAAAACAGAGGTTCGATCCCAGGCGGAGATGAGATTTTTCAAAGTCCACAAATATTTCAATTGGATAAATATAAATTAAACGTTAAATTGGATGATAAATAAATAATAAAATAAATATAAAATAAAAAGAAATAAGGTAGAATCAAATTTTTAATTTTACAAAAAAAAACTGTTGGTTTGCTCAACCAAACATTTTTGCTGACCTAACAAAAAATGTTGGTTGACCTAACCAAACATTTTTGTTATGTCAACAAAAAAAAACACTCAACCAAATTTTTTAGTTGACTCAAAAAAATATTTTGGTTGCTTAAATACCAACAAAATTTTTTTGTTGGACCAATCAAATTGATTGCTCTGACTAAATATATTTCTCAGTGTAATTCAGCAGAATTTTCATTTAATAGAATTTTATGTAATTCGAATGTATAAATGACAGAAATTCCAATTCACTAAATTTCATTTTTCCGAATTTTTATTTGCAAAAATTTTTACTTTTTCAGAAATTAGAATTCTTAAAACGCCAAAGTTTTCTATTTGTCCGCAATTACAAATGACCAAACAAACAATTGACAGAAAGATTTCGGCGCAATTTTTAAATATTGACCAATCAGAAATTACTAAGAAAATCGTGATTGGTCAATTTTTAAAATTGCGCCGAAAGCTTTCTGTCGATTCATGTTCGGTCATTTGTAATTTCGGACAAATGATAGTTCGGCGTTTAAAAATTCTATAAATTAAAAATTTGTACAAATAGAAATTTAGTCACAAGAAAATTTGGTGAATTGAAAATTTTTGACATTTAAAAATTTGACTCACTTAAAATTATGTTAAATAAGAAATTTGTTACATTAAAATTCTTTTAAATGAAAAGTCTTGTAAAGAAAATGACTGTAAAATAAAAATTATGCCAAACAAAAATTCGGTATAGCTAAAAATTTTTGTTAAGTAAAAATTCGTGTAAAAAGGAAATTCTGTTAATTAAAATTCACACTAAAATTATTTTAAATATCAAACATTCGATACCTAACAATTTTTTAAAATAAAAATTTGTTTAAAAAGAATTTTTAAAAATGAAAATTCGTCTAAAAAAACAATTATAACTAAGAAAATTTATCAAAATGAAAATTCTAACTAATGATTTTTATGTAAAATAAAAAATTTTGGTTTTTACTTTTTTAACATTATCTGTTGTGATACCTCTCTTTGAGTAATATTTATATAAAAAAGGTGTTTAAAAATAATTCTGTGATGATGCAATAATAGTGTCAATATATATACATAAATAAATACATTTATATATCTTATTGAATTGCGTGCGAACATATAATGAAACTACTATCGTAAATTAATTGATTATATGTAGGTGGACTATCTATTTAATTGCCTGGTAACGGATATTGAGAGAAATCAGTCGAGAAGTTTTGCTTATCGAGACAAAGTTACGAAAGTGCTTGTATCAATTAAGGGAGGCCGTACAATTAATGTGTATAGTCATTTCACATCGAAATAGTGAATACAAATTAGACACACAAAATAACGAGTAAAAAAAAAATTTTATTTCTTTACTAAAAAAAAAAAATAAATAATCCGATTTACATAATTATTTAACATATTTATATTTGTTCGAATTATATTTTGACAAAATTTCCATTAAACTTATTTTTTATTTTACAAAATTTTTACTTAACCGAAAATTCATTTAGGGTCAGCCGGGGTAAATCCGAACGCTAATTATTTCAGCTTAATTAAAATTTTAAAAAATAAGTTATACATGAGAATTTTTACCTCAGATCCTCTTCAAGAGATTCTAAGTATTATCCCATTTTTCGTTTGTCAATTTGCAACAGCATAATCAAAGATTACGAGTATTGCAAAAAAGATTGAAAATCAAAGATGACACTCTTTCAGTATTTTGTCTCGTATTTGAAGAAAAAGAAGCTAAAAATTCATTTTATTATTTATAATTGTTTGTTATGAATACTAGATCAGAAACTATTTTTCATTTTTGCCTTCTGTAAAATTTTATTAATAATATCAGACCGTTCGTATTTACCCCGGAAAATTGGAAAACCGGGGTAAATCCGAACGTTATTTTCAATAATTTTTTCTTATATCAAAGCCACACAAAATTGTTTTTATTTGATTACACTATTATTTTAACATTATAAAAGTACATAGAAAAAAGTTTTTCTTTCTATATGTATACTATTTAGTAATTAATAAGCAGAAACTTAATCTCTGTTCTCTCGAAGGAGTGTTCCACTTTTTTTGCCAAATGGTTTGTTGAAAAAAGTTTTTCAGGATCTTAAAAAAATTTGGTATTCCAGGGTTTTTGGGGTTGCTGATTACCAATTTGAAGTCAGTTTTTCAAAATTCAAAATGGCGGATCCAATATGGCGGACGGGAATTAAAAAATTCATTGTATTCGCTCGAAAATTGTTACTCGGGGGGTTTCAGGGTCGCTGATTACGAATTTGGAGTTAGCAAATTTGATCATTTTTAAAAATAAGTTTTAGGAAAGTCCACCATTTTGAATTTAAAAAATTTGACTTTTATTTTTGTATTTACATTCAATCACTCCAAAATACTTTCTGTACCAAGTTTTGCAAAAATCCGTTATGATTTGATAAAGTTATTGAAGGTTTTAATTGTGTAATGCATTTTAATTTTTAACCTGTTTGATTTTTGTATTTATATATGATGCATTATTACATAATAGGTTTATTATCGTATTTTTTTGAGTTTTTATATGAGTTTAACAATTGCAATACTTTAAATTTATTTTCCCTAAGATTTTTCTGAAATACAGTGCGACATTCGTATTTACCCCGGTATTTTAGGAAAGTTGCAATGTATCGAGGTAAATACGAACGCTAAGTTTCCTGCGATTGTAATTTATCAAAAAATTTTGCTACCCCATAAAATTGTTCTATGGAAGTAAAGTAACAACTTCATGCACCAGAATACCGGAAGTATTGTTTTTTAAAAGAAAAAACTTATGTTATTGTTGAAACTTACTAAAAGCGTTCGGATTTACCCCGGCTGACCCTAACAGAATTTTTTATTTATTTGAATTTTTATTTATCAGTACTTTCGTTTTCAAATAAATTTGAAATTTTTCTGACAAATATTTATTTGAATAACTAAAAATTCTGCCAAATAAAAATTCTGTTAAATGTATTTTCTGTTAAGTAAAAATTCTGCGTGAAAAATCAGTTGAAAAATAGAAATTCTGTCAATTAATAATTTGAAGAAATAAAAATTCGGTCTCCCCTGTACATGTCAGAAATGAAAAAAAAATTTGATCCAAGATAAATTCTCTCTTTCTCTCTCTCTCTCAATTTTTTTTTCGAATTTTGACCATTCCCTCCCCACATTTTGTTGTAAATGAGAAAAAAAGAGATACGTATTTTTTTGTTTCGATTTTAATAAAACTTTAATGGTGCCTCAGAGAACTTGAAATTTTACGTGCATTTTGCATGAGGAAAAAACACTTTTTCGTAAATTTACTGTCAAAATGTCAAAAACCAATGTTTTTTGACTGGACTACTCTACTTTTCTTCAGAAATATTCGAAGAATAACACACAACAAATGATTTATAAAATTTTTAATGTTAACTATTTTTTAAACGACCTCAAAGTCCCCTAAAAAGTGAAATAATGTAATATATTAAAAAATTGCTTATTATTTTCTTCCTGTTTATTTATTTAACAGATTTAGTTATTCCTTAATTATTAAAACTAGTATTTTTGTTTGTCAGTGCATAAATTTTTAAAATTATTTAAACAATTTTTAATTGTTGCTATTTAACTATTCTCAAATTATTTTCTATATATATATATATATATATATATAACAAAAAAGAGAAGCGAAAACATTGATGAAATGATAGAAGTGCCTTAATAAAGTGGCAATAATCATTGCCAGGAAAGGTTCGTATTTTCACCTGTCTATCTAAGGTGTATCGTATGTGGCGCAGAGAGCGTTTCGATCTTTTTTTCTTTTCTTTTTTTTTATTCTGCAGCAAAGATTCAGCTTTGTGGCTTCGAAGCTTCGATCGGTTCCAATTGGCTGTTTGGTGTATATATACGGATGGTCGGACGTATCGACAGGTTCGGTGACAATTTATCGTGCCGCTGTTTATATCCGCTCGATCGAAACTTACAGCTCCAACAGGGAGACGGCTTCTCGTATACAGTACATACACATATATATATAGTAGTTTCTAGTATATAAATCTCAAACGAACAATTCAAATTAAATGAAATTAAAAAAATTATTCAGGACAACTAATATAGATTAGTAATGTATTAAAATATTTTAAAAAACTTAAAAATACTTTTAAATTTGAGGTGGATGAATTTCCCCTAAAAATCATTAGTTAAAATTTTCATTTTAAAAAATTTTATTAGTTGTAATTATTTTTTAGATGAAGTTTCATTTTTCGATTTATCATTTGATAAAATTTATTTTTAATTGAAACTTTTATATAACACAATTTTTAGGTACCGAATTCTGCTTGAACTAAATATTAATTTAACAGAATTCTCATTTAACAGAATTTTCAGTGATTTAAATTTTTAAATGACAAAATTTTCAATTCACGTAATCTT